GTCTCGAATCTGACACTTCATCTTTAACTGAACAGCTAGCATGTCTTGCCCAGACCACTGGGCCGTTTTTAGACTCATTCGAGGTCACAGGAAAGTCTGTCTAGGGCCTTCCTGCTCCCTTTTCCCCAAGCCAGCTAGAAAGATTCCTTTAAAAGAGACCTGTCCAGCCCATGGTCCAGGACAGCTAGTCATGTGGCCCACAGAATCTTTTAACATCATGTGTTTTTTAACATTTATTTTCTTCATGACTGTACACATAGTTCCATTTTTGAAGTTCACAATCATGCCTTATTCATGACCTTGTTTTCCAGCAGCACATACGTTTGTGAGCTGCTGTTTTCAGTTATGAAGTGCACAAAGAGCAAAATTCGAGCAAATGTTTCTGGCATGCTACTTGAGAACTCACTAAGAATTGCGACCACTTCCATTGAACCAGACATAGATAGATTAGTTTTACAAAAACAAGTTCAAATTTCCCACTGGTTTTATATTGTTCTCATTTTTCTAAACTTTATAAAAGAAATATAAAAAAACAAAATAAGTCTTATTATGTGTATCCACTAACCATATTCTATAACCATGCAGCCCAAGACAATTCTCTTTACTCGATGTGGCCCAGGGAAGCCAAAAGGTTGGACAGCCCTGCTTTAAAATAATCAGAGCACATCCCGCTTTGTGAGGGCCACCATGATCTCCCTTCACCAGAAGCTGAGGGGGTCATCCTAGTTCGTCACACCTCAGCTTTGATGCCTCTGGAGACCTTCAGACACCCGAGGGTCTTGGACATGCTTAGAGAATCCTCCCCTGAACAAGCATTCAGAATCCCCAGGGGCTACTCTTTACCACACCGCCCTGTTTTCAGTCTTCCTGGTGGACCGGGCATTCTGTGATGTTCTTCTTGTCTGTTTATTTTCTCCTTTGCCCCAGGAAATGTCTGCTGCCTGCCAGTGGGGCCCTTGTTCTCTGCTGAGATCCCAGAACCCCAGGCAACAAGGAACACAGATTTACAGAATACACTTCGCATAATGTGTTTGGCAGGAAGGCACGTCTGCACGTAATTTGAGATGTGTCCTTCTGAAAAGGGTGCTTGCATTCCTGTATCTATCATGGGTCCAGAAAGCCTGCAGAATGCCTGCCTGTTCTTTGCATCTCTGGTTGATACAAAACCTTAGCTGAAGGAAGTGCCTTTTCCCTCCCTCCCCACTTCCCCACTACCAGACCTGGCTAGCCCATGTTTTCTCTCTTAAAGACGTGCTGGAAAAGCAGTTGAAACCTTGCTTAGCCCTCAGTTTCTTACCAGGTGAGCTCACGGGTGGAGAGAGGGCTTTGTTCTCTTGTTCCTATTTTTATTAGCCCACTTTATCAAGGTATACGACGTCTGTCAATTAGGTTCATGAACCATCCTAGAAAAAGTGCTACATACCTAATTGCTGAATCTCACAACAGTCGCGTTTGAAGTGCTCCCCTTGGGAAGCTTTGCACTGATGACAACATCTAGTCCACCCATCAGAGCAATCTTGGAACTCTTTTTCTGGAATGGCCATCAGTACCATCATCATTATTTGTTGAGGTCTGACCATTAAGTTCGCGAACTTGGCCGCCCTGCACTTTTGTTGGCAGCTCTGTACAAATAACTATTGGAACATCCTTGCTACTCACCTGATCTGGCCCCCAATGACATTTTTCTTTACATGAAGATAAAGGAAATATTGAAAGGAAGGCATTTGATGACATTCAGGACATCAAGGGTAATAAATACAACGACAGCTCTGATGGCCATTCCGGCAAAAGAGTTCCAAAACTGCTTTGACGGGTAAACTAGTTGCCGGCGTCGGTGCACGGCTTCCAAGGGTGACTTCGAAGGTGACTATAACAAGATTCAGCAGTGAGGTAGGTGACACTTTTTCTCGGAGGAATGCATGAACTTGATTGTCCGTGAACTTGATTGTCCGACCTCATAAGTGACTTGCAAAAAGCTACCCCTGTTTCATGTATAAACTATGTGGCAATAAGCACACACCTAGGAAACCATCACCACATTCTGTGCCCTAAACATGTCCCTCCCCTGCAACTTCCCAGAGGGTTTCCTCTTGCCCTTTTTATTCATTTTATGTAAACATTTGTGTATGCATGTGTGTGTGGTTGGGGGAGCGGGGAGCAAGAACACAAGAAATCTCCCCTCTGAGCAAATTTCCAAACACATGGTCGGTGTTGTTAACTGTGGCAACTGTGCTCTGCAGTACAGCTCTAGGATTTATTCATCCTGCATAACTGAAACTTTGTACCCTTAGAACAACATACCCTCCTGTGCCCCCAGCCCCTGTCACCCACCCACTCTCTGCTGCTATGACTTCTACTTGGGTCCCATGTACAAGTGCGATCATGTGATATTTAGCCTTCTGTGTCTGGCTCGTGCCACAAAAGGCATGATTTCCTTCTTTTTAAAGGTTGAATAGTATTCCGCTGTGCATGGGCACCACATTTTCTTTTATCTATGTATCTGTTGATGGACATTTTGGTTGGTTCCACATCTTGGATTCTGATACTGTTGTGAATGCAGGAATGCCGGTGTCCTTTTGAGATCCTGGGTTTGGCACCCTAGCGTTCTGCTGCCCACTTGGGCGTGTAGCATACTGTATCCACAAATGAATGAAGGGGTGGATAGGTCAATATTGATTTGTAAGCTTTGCTCAATAACAGATGCTCTGATTCCTTAGAAAGATACACTTCTAAAGCATCATTTTTCTGAATGACTTTTAAGTTTCTCAGAAGCCTCATCTGCGTTTTGGGACGGAAGTAATCGCATTAATAAGGGATGGCAATTTTTGTTTGAGTTGCTAAGATCTGTTGGAAGCAGTGACTGGGTCATTTAAAACTATTCCTAGCTGGGCTTGGTGGCTCAGTCTGTAATCCCATGCCTTTGGGAGGCTGAGGTGAGTGGATTGCCTGAGCCCACAGGTTCGAGACCCTCCTGGGCGACTTGGCGAGACCTCATCTCTACAATAAAATCAAAAATGAGCCGGGCGTGGTAGCGCGTGCCTGTAATTCCAGCTACTTGGAAGGCTGAGGCAGAAGGATCACTGGAGTACAGCAGGTCAAGGCTGCGGTGACTGGGAGTGGCCACTGCACTCAGTCTGGGCGACAGAGTGAGACTCCAACTAAAAAAAAAACAAAACTATTCCTGAGGAGTGACTTGTGTGTGGGAAGGGGCTGCCACTGCTGGGATGCAGGGTAGAGGGAAGGTAAGGTAGAGGTAATTTAGAGACCCTCACATCTCCACCAAGGCGTTATTTAAAAAGCTGTAGAAAGTGTGGCCACTAAGGAATCCGAGTGGAAATCAGGCACAGGCTAGGGGATGACGCTGTCTCTTCCAGCTCTTGCAGCACGAGGGCTGGATCACAACCATGTGCTTCTTTCCGCAAACGGCTGCTCGGCCTCGCATGCAGTTGGTGCTATTTGGAGAACCCATGAAAGAGTGCTTTGCTGATAAGTTCCAGCCCTACTCTTTGAATTTTTTTAGTTTTTAAATTTTTGTTTTATTTTTTGAGACGGGGTCTCATTCTGTTGCCCAGGCTGGAGTGCAGTGGTGTGATCGTGGCTCACTGCAGCCTCATGCGCCAGGGCTCAGGCCATCCTCCTGCCTCAGCCTCCCAACATGCTGGGATTGCAGGCTCATGCTGCCATAACTGGTCCTGCTTTCATTATATTGTAAACTCTTTGGGGGTGCATACTGAAATGCTTAAACTCATTCTCCCTGTTACCTGCGACGTTTGTGCTAAGTGAGGGATATTTTCAAATGCTCATGCACACTGTGATGGATGGTCAGTTTGCTACAATCCTCAGGCTCTGACTGCGTTGATGAACATTTTGATAGCTACACAACTGGGTCAGCCCTGTCCCAAGAAGTCACAGGCTGACCATGGTAACAGACTAGAACAGACACGACGGAAGTGAGGGAAGGCTTAGAGGTGAGAGGAGGCTGAGAAAGCTCACCTCCCACTGGGCAGAACTAGGACACGGATTCTTGAGGAGTTGATTTGGGTCAGCATGTGTGGGAATAGAGCCTTGAGGATTGAGTCATGGAATCAGGGTGGTGATACCAGCAAACACTGTCTTTATTTTGTTCTGGTTTTGGCAGACTGGTGAAGATTGCTCGGGGATTGGCAAATGGTCTGTATTAACCATGTGTATCTGATGCCTTGACATCTGGGCCTTGGTGATCCTGGAGGGACTTCCAGGGCTAGCCAATTCCTAGAGATAGAAAGCGAGCTGGGTGCAATGGCTCACACCTGTAATCCTGACACCTTGGGAGGCCAAGGCAGGAGGACTGCTTGAGCCCAGGAGTTCGAGGCTGCAGTGAGCTATGATAGTGCCACTGCATTCCAGCCTAGGCGGAAGAGTCAGACTCTGTCTCCAAAAAATAAAATAAAGAAAACAACCTACCCGTGAGCATGCTTTTTCAACCATTCCAGAGCCCACACCCCCAACACCTGTATTGGGCTTTCACTTCAGGCCACCAACTACCTACCCTAAGTACCCAGGCCAAGTACCAGACAGGGACAACCCCTGTGTTCCAGGGCCTGGGGAAATCACCCACACCAGCCACCTCTAAGCCAGCTCACCCAGCCTGGCCTGCTCCTTCCTGTGGAAACCACAATGAAGACTCTCATCCACAAGTCCCCCTCTTCCCATCTGTCTCCCAGGCAACCCCAGGGCTTCCCTGTGTGGCCCAGGGAATAGATTCTTCTGGGATCTATGCATAACAAACGATATTTTCAGGGGCCGTCGTCCCTGATCTGTTGGTCTCCCCCTAGCTGAGTGATGCTAAAACCTGTCTTTTAAAACCAGGTCTGGTTTGGCCAGGAGCGGTGATTGTACCGTTCAACTGGTGGCCGGGACCATGGTCAGATCCAGGAGTGGGCGTGGGGAGGAGGGGGTTTGCTGTTGGTGTGAGGGCCCTGGGGTGTCTTGGAGGAACTGACCTGTGTCATTGTGGGAAGATGGCTGGGGTGAGAGAGAAATGATGAGAAGAAGAAGTCCTTAGGAGGCTGGGCCCGGAGCCAGTGGGTGGTGAGGACGGGGCATCCAGGGGTTGGTTATTCAAGGGATTGGTTGATGGATGTTGTGTCTGATGGCAGTGCCCGGGCGTAGCGGGCGATTCATCAGGTGATGCCACCCTTTGAGAAGGGGGAGGGAGGGCACCCTCACCCACAATGAGGCTGGGAGGGACAGGAGGGGCTGGAAGAAGCGGGAGGAGGAGGAGGAGGAGGAGAAGCAGGCGGAGCTTCCCAGTGTGTTTGGTTTGCAAGTGTCCACCTGGGATACGCTGGAGATTCTGCTTCTCTTTCGTGTTCCTGGTGGCCGTCACTCTTGTAGTCGTTCCTGTCTGTGGGTGCCTACGCCACTTCATTCCTACCCGTGGCAGCTCTTAACATGAAGGCCCTGGGCATTCAGCAGGCATTCCCTGTGTCGAGGAAGGAGGCCTCTGAGGGGTCATGTGCTCTGTGCCTGTCTTTATCCAGGAAGCCAGAAGAGGAAAGCCAGGTTGAAGGAACACACTTACTGCTTGTTTCTGTTAGACTTCTTTGGTGCGTGCCTTGTGTTTGTGTGTGTTTGGGGGTGGGGGGAGGACGGTGTCTCTGGGAAGATGCATTTGCAGAAGTGATAGCCAGTGTCCCTGCAAATTGCAGGATGATTCTAGGGCAGGTGACTTATTCTTCCTGTCTCTCTCTCTCTCTCTCTCTCTCTCTCTCTCTCTCTTCCCCCCTTGTCCCCTTTCTCCCCCACTCACTCTTTCTCTCCCTCCTCCTCTCTCCCCACGTCACCTCTTCTCTCCCTCTCTTTCTCTCTTCTCTTTATCTCTCTGTGTCTCTTCCTCCTTCTCCTTCCTCTTTCTCCCTTTATCTGTCTCTGTCTCTCTCCATCTTTCTCCTTCCTCTCTCTCTCCCTTTCTCTTTATCTCTGTCTCTCTCCCTCCTTCTAGTTTCTCTCTTTCTTCCTTTATCTCTCTTTGTCTCTTTTTTTCCTTCTCCTCCCTCTCTTGCTCTCCCCTTCTCCCCTCCCCGCTGCCATATATAACTGGCGTGTTCAGTTGAGAGCTGTAGGCGAGCCTCCCAGCAGATGCCACCCCCTTCCGTGGACTGTCCCCTCCCGTGGACTGCACTCCCAGGTCTCTGGAAGGTCTCTGGAAGTGCAGCCCCTGCTGAGTCCAGCCTGTGGTTGGTTTGACTTCTCCCTAGCCAGGAGACTTGACTGCTTCCATGTTCTTTCCAGGCACGGGGACATTTGGGCGGGTGCACCTGGTGAAGGAGAAGACGGCCAAGAACTTCTTTGCACTCAAGGTCATGAGCATTCCCGACGTCATCCGCCTGAAGCAGGAGCAGCACGTGCACAACGAGAAGTCGGTTCTCAAGGAAGTCAGCCACCCGTTCCTGGTCAGGCTGTGAGTGCCCCTTGGACCTCTGTCCACCCCCTGCTCTTTTCCTCACTCTCCCTGGAATCCCTCCTTTTTTTTGGTAGAAAGGAGATCTGGCTCTTTTGCCCAAGCTGTAGTGCAGTGGTGTGATCATAGCTCCTTGCAGATGCTAATTCCTGGGCTCAAGCGATCCTCCTGCCTCAGCCTCCTGAGTAGCCAGGTCTGTAGGCACATGCCACTGCTCCTGGCTCATTTTTAAAAAAATCTTTTGGTAGAGACCCGGTCTTGCTATGTTGCCCATGCTGGTCTTGAAATCCTGACTTCAGGCGATCTTCCCACCTTGGCCTCCCAGAGTGCTGGGATTTCAGGTGTGAGCCGAGGCACCGGTCTTCAAGTGGGTTTTCCTAGAAGAAGCAGGTGGACTGAGGCTGTGACAGAAGTGCAAAGCCTCAGGTCATTACCATCCTGGGCTGTTGACCCTTATAAGCCTGTGATCTCATGGGGAATACTGAGGGCTCCTGACCCCCAAGGCTGGTCAGGTCTAAAGAGAAGAATCTGTTTCCTGAAACCCCTGCCCAAAACCCCTTGCTCCTCTCACGTGTAGCCTAGTGTCTTCCTGAAAGTGGACGGCCCTGCAGGAGTCTTTGTTCCCTTACCTTTCATCCATAGCTCCCTGGAGAGCCTGTGAAGTCAGCTTTTCAGGTATCTCAGTCACGTGAACTGGGCTTTGTGAACTCAAGTCACCCCATGGGTTCTGGGCTGACTGTTAAATCTCTCCATCTAGACACTCCACAGATGCTTCAAGCTGAACATATCCAACACTGAACCAACGAATCCTCCTTCTCCCATGTCATTTCCTACTATGGGTGTCTTAGCCTGTTCCGGCTGCTATAACATATCATAGATGGGTAATGTGTAAACAACAGACACTCATTTCTCGCTGTTCTGGAAGCTGGAAGTCTCAAATCAAGACTTGGCAGATTCTGTGTCTGATGGAGACTCACTTCCTGGCTCACAGACGGCACCTTCTTGCTGTGTCCTCCCTCACCTGGAGGAGGGGGTGAGGGAGCTCTCTGGGGTCCCTTATAGGGTGACTGATCCCATTCACGAGGCTCCACCCTCTTGACCTCATCAACTCCCAAAGGCCCCCCCTCCCAAAACCGTCCTCGTGGGAGTCAAGATTTCAACATAGGAATCTTGGGGGTGGGGCACAGACCTTTAGGCCTTGGCAGTAGGTCTCTCCACCCGTCCACAGGTTCCTCCTCCCCGTTCCCACGTCTTCCCTCCACCATCTTGCTGATATTCCTCTCCCACCCACCTGCACACACACCTAGCCTTCCATGGGTCCCGTCTCTCTGCCCTGATTTTCTACCCTGGCTTTCCAGCTGGCCTTTCCTCCTAGCCTTGCTTTCTTTGGAGATGTTCTTCACTTATTGGTCTTCCCCAAGTACCTCTGCTAGTGGCCAGTGTCTCTTCTTTCAGGCTTGGTGATTTCCTGAGGTTCCCCGTAGAAAACCCAGTGTCAGAGCAGCCTGTATCAGCCTCATCATGTAGAGTCACCTGCAGTGGAAAGTGTGAGGTACTATCCTCGCCGTCACCTCAGGGTTCCCCTGGGCCATCCCTCCCTGCTGTGCTTCCTGCCTCTGCATTTATTTTTCTTCTTATTTTTTTGAGACAAGGCCTAGCTCTGTGGCCCAGGCTGGAATGCAGATCGTAGCTTACCACAGCCTCATTTAACCTCCTGGGCTCAGGCAATCTTCCTGCCTCAGCCTCCCAAGTATTTGTGACTATAGGTGCATGCCACCATGCCTGGCTAATGTTTTGATTTTTTTTGCAAAGATGCCATCTTGGTATGTTGCCCATGCTGGTCTGGAATTCCTGGCATCAAGAAATTCTCCCACCTCAGCTTCCCCAAAGAACTGGTATCACAGGTGTGAGCCACTGCTCATGACAGATTCTGATTTTGTTGTTTCTTGCTTTCAGTTGAGGACCAAAGTCGTTAACTCATTTGTGATCGCTGACGTGAATTTACGTCTTTGTAAATTCTGTTCCTAAATAATATATATTCGGTTTAGAATCTGAATCAAAATACAAAGGATGGAATGCTATTTGGAGTGGTATCTGGAGCAAATCCTGGACGTGTCTGCAACTTTCAGCTGTATTGTGAAAAAGGTGACAATTTAGAAAAGACCATTTTACTTGTGCTTAACGACAGAAGTCTGCAGCGGCCAGCTTCAGATTTTTTAAATTTTCATCCGCATTCAGTATTAGGAAAGTGAAAAATTTGCTGATCACGAATGTGTTAACATTCCTCAAGTCTCTGAGCTCTGGTTTTGGCAAACAGAATTTGACTGAAGGTGGCCTAAACCAGTTTACTTTTATCTTTTAAGGAATGAAGCTTATCTGCACCACCCTAGTGCCACGAGAGAGCATTGGGATGCTACCTGGGCTGTGCCTTGCCGGCAAGGCTCACTTGCACTCCAAGTGCTGGCTGCAGTCTGAGGGGTTCTCTGACTTACAAGTCAGGCCCAACTGGCGGGGGGGGGGTGCCACGAGGCGGGACTTTGTCCCCCGTCGTTGCAGTCTACGTGGAATTTAAGGCATCTGTAGATGTCATTCTCAGGAGGATTATACTCGGGAATTATATCCGGGACAACGCGGTGGAGCTCATTTGTAATTTCTCTGATTTTGGTCAATGTTTGTCTCCCAACAACAGCACTGTAACGATGCAGAGGGCAAGGCAGACTCTGAAGCCCATGGCTGTCAGGAAGGGTTTTAGAGCCGGGTGAAGATTGTCAGCAGGGGATCCTTTAAAAAAGGCTCAGCAGTGAGAAAAAAATGTTACAAAGTCCCTCAGCCCAGGCGGCTTAAACAGCAGGCATTTGTCCTCTCTCGTCCTGGAGACTGGAAGTCGAGGCCACGGTGTCTCAGGGCTGGTTCCTCCCCAGGGTTCTCTCCTGGACGTGCAGATGCTGTCTCATCTGTGTCCTCGTGGGGTCATCCCTCTGCGCACATCTGTGTCCTCCTCTCTTCTTCTCATGAGGACTCTAGTCCTGTTGGATCAGGGCCCACATAGTGACCTCATTTTACCTTAATCCCCTCTTTAAAGACTCGCTTTCCAAATGTAGTCACATTCTGAGGAACTAAGGAGTCGAACTAAAGCATATGGATTTTGAGAGTGGGGGACACACAGTTCAGCCCATGAGACCCACTGAGTGACTGGCTAAGAACAGATCTTTGAGTGCACTGGCGTCTTATGATAATGCACTTTGAGCATTTTGTTTTTTTCTGTGTGTTAGCACTAGAGAGGCCAGATGGGTTTGAGAACAGAGTTAGAGTCAACCTGGTGCACTGCGGCCCATCGACAGCCCTGTACACAGCATGGGTGAGCATGCCATGCCTGGCCAGCTCCGCGGGAAAGACACTGGTGGGCTTCCAGCATCTCGTGATGAGGGGCATGTGTTAGTGGCGCAGCACCATTGGTGAAGAATCTCCCTGACCGTGCAGTTTCTCTTCTTCACGTAGGCCGCCTTGCTCAACATCTGTATCCTATACTTTCCGGAAGCACAGAGCACGTTTTCGTGCGTCTCTGGCCAGCACGTGGGATGCTGCTGTGACCGTTTGGGGCTGCGCGTTCCACCGGGAGAACTTGGCAGGTGTGGAGGTGGTGCTGTCGGCATTCAGTATTTGAACTGCTGCAGGTGGCACGTCTAAAAAGATAGCAGGGCACTCGTGAAATGTGTATTAAAGACCACATTCTGTTTGGTGATAATACTGTTTCCTCAGGCCACTCAGCCAAGGAGGACAGAGCTCAGAAAGAGCCAACTGACTCACTGTCCATGGGGGCAGAAGGATTTTCACAAAGTCAGTTTCCCGGGGAGAAAGCCTTGTGCTCTGCCCAGAGACTGCGATCGCTCACCCTGTATACATACAGAAATTTCCAACATCTTGGAGTCGTTTGGATCCTGAATAGGGTTCCTCAACTTGGACAGTATTGGCTTTGGGGGTTGGATTATTCTGTGAGGTAGGGCGTCCTGTGCACCGTGGGGTATTGAGCAGCGTCCCTGGGCTCACCCACCAGATACTAGGAACACCCACCCCCAGGTACCACAACCAAAAATGTCTCTAGTCATTGTCTAACATTGTCTGTGCGTACAGACCACTGCAACAGAGAGAAGATAGGTAGGTAGGTGGGTAGATAGATGATATAGATACATGCATACAGATTAACAGATAGATGATAGATCAATTGATAGATGCATAGATGACATAGCTAGGTAGAGGCATACACACACAGATAGTTATAGATCGATTAATTGATAATTTATCAGGGTTTCTGAGAGAAACAGAACAGAAAGAGAGAAAGGATTTGAGGAATTGGCTTATGTGGTTAAGGGGACTGGCAATTCTGAAATCTGTGACCCAAGCCAGGTGGCTGGAAGTCAGACAACGTGTCTATGTTGCAGTCTTGAGGAGCATATTTCCCCTTTTTTGGCAAACTACAGTGTTTGCTCTTTATCTCTCCATCTCCTTAGATGCGGCCCACCCACACCATCCAGAGTCGTCTGCTTTACTCCAAGTCTACTAGTTGTAAATGTTAATCCCATCTCTAAATAACGCCACAGGAACATCCAGACTAGGGTTCAACCAAACCACTGGGCACCACGGCCTCAAACTCCTGGGCTCAAGCGATCCTCCTACCTCAACCTCCCGAGTAGCTGGGACTTCCGGTGTGAGCTGCCACGCCCAGCCAGAAAATGCCAAGTCTCTCACTGGCATTTCTGTGCCAGTAGGATTCAGTTAGAACATAATTGATTGCTGTTGTTCTAGAGGCCCGGAACCAATTTTTTTTCCAAATGATTTACTTTTTTTCTTAAATATTTGAGCTTATTTTTGTGAACTTTGGAGAGGGAGTTGGGAAACCCTCATCCCATCAATGCTTTTGTGACTAAGTGAAAGGAGGGAACTCTTTTATTTAGACTTTGCTTCAAATCAGCTGTTCACATGTGGCAGACATGCCTCAGGAA